TGGACAATATGTCCGCTTAAAGAAACCGATATCTGTCCAGACCATTGAGTTAGCGCGTCTACGGTGTGTAAAACATGTTAATGTTACTGCTATCGCCTCTGATATCCAGTTACCATGTCCATTAGGTACTTACTACAAAAATCATCCTAGCATCGAAGATACTATGTCAGTCGTCTTATTTATTGTAAACTATTACAATCAAACACACTGCTTCCCGAGATCCGAACAACTTACTGTTGCAAATTAGATCAAAAAAAGATTCGTTTAAATGAGATAAGCAGGAATTATATGCAATAAAGAAACGGTCCAATAACTCGCACTGGCTGGCGCAAAAAGAAAACAATTAGGACCAGGTACATTTTGTGCTATTTGTAAATCTAACCCTATTCAACCCGGAGTCAGGATGTTGGCGATGTTTCACCCTCGTGCCTGGGAAAGCATGTAAAGCCGTTGTTCCTGATCTCTCTCCGGTCGTGTTGGATTGCTGTCCTATCGGATTATGAGAGAGAGAGAGAGAGAATAGAGAGTGCACCAGTGCTTACGCATACACTCGGGCACTATAATCCTGGCACAGAAAGCTAGTCTCCGTTGAATCAGGATGTCATGGCAGAAATTCGGTCTGGAGGACATTTAATAATAAACTATGATAAAAGTAAAATATAGTAACACCGTTGTAATAATGTACTTTTAAGATACCTTCGTACCACCGGAAGACATGTCTGTAACTAAAATCGGTTAAGAGGACACCGTAGGCTAGCTATTTTTATCTCCTTTGAATAAATATCCCGAGGAACGTTTTAAACGAAAGACTTGCTCGAAATTTTATAACCGCGCTCTTGTGTTAATATAATAGATTAAAAATTATTACACCTTTATCTGAGATGAAACACAGTTTGTAAATCAAAGTGTTGTTAAGCTTAATTATATTAAACTCCTTTATTGAATTAGCCATGTGTGTGTTTTTATTCGTTTTTTACCACCTGATGGTAAGTGGTTACCGCAGCCCATGGACTCCTAGGATTCCTAGGACGTGTAAAACATATTTTGTTATCAATTCTTTTCGCGATTTTTTATCTTGATTTTTTTTCACTAACAGCGGAAACTTTTAAATAAGACATTTGAAACAGAAACTATCAAAAGAAGTTAGAAGTTACATTCCATAAAAAAGTCCACTTATGCGCTACGAATGGACCTCTATCCATGCAGAGAGGGGCATTCCAGGTTAAATATAGCTGCAGTGTGGCTATACCTCGTATAAATTGACAATGGTGATGATTTAATTTAATCTGAATTCCACGACTGGCTGGCTTTGCTACAAACCATGATTCCTTTAAGATTAAAAGTCAGACTGCACAGAGGATATCGTAATTTGTAAATAAACAGTGGGCTTAATTAACGCAATATCATCAACAATAGACAATTAACCCGAGCCATAAACACGCGTAGCTCTGACCTAAAACAATGTACGAGCTAAATTAACTGTAAAATAGGTTAGTCGATTGTTGTTTTATACCCCATTGACCTTTATATCCTATACCAGGAAACAGTTAATGGTTGCTGATCATGTTTAGTCCACATCTGGGTATCGGCATCGACTTACCGATACTCAAATAAATTAATAACTTAAATACAAAATTTAAAAAATGAACACAAAAAACAGCTGGTGACCTTGAAACGGCTGAACCGATTTTGATAAAACTTATCTAAGAACTACCGATAAGAAACATGTTTTTAAATAAAAAATCGCACCAAAATCGGTTCACCCGTTTAAGAGCTACGGTGACACAGACAGACGCAGCCAGACACACACATATAGCGGTCAAACTTATAACACCCTTCCTTTCGCGTCGGGTGTTGATAAAAAATTAAAAATCTCCGAAACAAAACGTGCTGATGACCTTCAAACGGCTGAACAGATTTTCTTGAAACATAGCTATAAGAACACATGATTAAAACACCTTATAACACGCCTCCGTTTTCGCCTGTGGTTAAAAATGGTTTAAATGACACTTGCTGTTTCTTTGAAAAAAATAGACATTTGAAATTTCTCTATCTATCGTAGATATATCTATCGTAGAGGCGTTTTACAAACATAAATAACACGTGAATAATTATGTAGAATTTATTTGTAGGTGTCTATTGTAGGGTATAATCCTATAGTACATGCTATGTTTCGTATGGTGAGTGTAGAGAACCGGAGACCCTTTTTACTGGAGACTAAGCATTCCATCTTAGTCCTCACGGGTGGCGACCGACGTATCTGCATTTTGTTTTGTAATCGAGGATAGATGTAGATGTCTATGGACTACAGCAACCACTTACCATCAGGTGGACTGTGTGCTCGTTTGTCACCCTATCCTATAAAAAATGTCTAACCACTGTTAACAATTCATTCATTTTAATTCACTACAGCCTATCAAAAGTCAACTGCTACTCCCCCATAGATTGCCATCTGGGGGATAGTGGCCATAGTTGCCACGTATGACAGATGCGTTGGCAACCGCAAGTTTTTATTAATTTCAGTTGTTATCTAAAGGATGCTGATGCCAAAGTTGCTTACGACACTTACTGCCTGAAATTGTTGATTTTTTTTTATAGTATTAGGGTGGCAAACGAGCACACAGTCCACCTGATGGTAAGTGGTTGCCGTGGCCCATAGACATCTACATCCATCTTCGTTTGCGAATTAAAATGCGTTGTCAGCCGTGAGGACTAAGATAGAATGTCTCTTTTCCAGTAAAATAGGTCTCCGGTCCTCTAAGCTTACAATACGAAACACAGCAGCATTAAGCTGCTATTTTACGCTGGTATTATGTGATAGCGTGGTCCTTCCCCGGTCGAGCCGACCCATTCGTGCTACAACTATACTATAAATATAGCTGCAGCGTGCCTACCACGTAAATGATGGATGTATTCTTGTACGCTACCAGAACAGGAACACCCAGTATACAGGTAGGAAATCCCGTCTCCGTAGTTTTAAAACGGACCATGTCTAACATTCCTAAGAAACGAGGCTATTTATAATCGACACTTTTAACTACATGAGCGTAAAGGATTCCATTATAAATTGAATGGAATTCAACACGGGACACCCACGTCATTAGATGCAATCTCGCAACAAGACAAGAAGCGTCGGGTTTCTAACTTTATTCCAGTTCACATTCAATTGGGGAATTTTGGGTACCGCAATACATAAAAAACAAAACTATATCGATTTTTTTTCATTTTAAAATTTCTTTCATACGTGATTTTTTTGATTTTTATTTCATACGTGATTTTTTATTACTGTGGAATGGCGGTGTAAGATTATCTGAGTTACATAGGTGTCGTTAAAGGAGACAGAGAAAAACTAAACCAGGATATGTTCAGAAGCATCCTTAAAATAATGAAAAAACTATGGTTGTCTAACATCCTGCCAAGCGTGGTAACTATGGTAAAATCTCTATATAATCCAATTTACGGGGGAGGCCTATGTTCAGCAGTGGACTTTTATATTCTGTAATAGATAATTAAAGTAGAATTTTAAAGTAATAAACTAAAAAGACAAACCACGCTTGACCCTTTTTAATGTTACATTTAATTTACAATCCCCTGTTCTGAAATTAATTGGTTTAGACAACAAATTATCAAGAATCTAATTAAGAAAACAAAAAGGCTTGTCTATGCCGGCACTCGATTAAAAGGGAAAGGCTAAGGCAACAATTCTAAGTTTGAATTCATTAATGGAACGTGACGCTTTTTTTATTTTAAATTAAGTTGAGAATAGACCGAGGATAAAATGATGTCACAATATACTAAAGAAAGCGATTACGAAAGGTACATTTTAAAATTTTCTTCTTTATATAGATCTAATTAGGAGTTATATTATTAAAGATTAATTATTACGTAACGTCAACAGACAAAAATATATAATCTAAGGTCGTATTTACTGGTTCTCGGTGGAGCTATGATGTAAGGACAGTGTCTGTTATGTGTTGAGACAAACAAGTTATATTAATTTCTTACTTACTAAATATATATATTCATACTCGTACATACAAAAACACGCCTATCCCTCAAAGAGGTAGGCAGAAAATACACCTTCATTTGGCACGATCCTGACATACCTCTCTCGCTTCCTTTACATCCATATACCTAAGCATACATGCCCTGCGATTAAGGGTATTCTTAATTTGGTTCATCTTCAATATCTCGCCAATATCGTCAATAACATGGTAGGGGCATGCTGCAGCTATATTACTGGTATAGTTTTAGCACGAATGGGTCGGCTCGACCGGGGAAGGACAGAATACCAGCGTGAAACAGCTGCTGTGTTTCGTATGGTAAGTGTAGAGAACCGGAGACCCATTTTACTGTAAAAGAGGCATTCCAGCTTAGTCCGCAAGATAAATATATATATGTCTATGGGTCACAGCAACCACTTACCATCAGGTGGACTGTGTGCTCGTTTGTCACCCTATCCTATAAAAAAAGGTTTTCTTTTAATAGGATAGGGTGACAAACGAGAACACAGTCCACCCGATGGCAAGTGTATGCCGTGGCCCATAGACATCTATATTTATCTTCAATAAAAAATCAAAATGCAGATGCGTCGTCACCCCTGCGGACTAACCTGGAATGCCTCTTTTCCAGTAAAATGGGTCTCCGGTTGTCTACACTTACCATACGAAACACAGCAGTGTCAAGCTGCTATTTTATGCTGGTATTCTGTGAGAGTGTGATCCTTCCCCGGTCGAGTCGACCCCTTCATGATACAACTATACTACTAATATAGCTGCAGCATGGCTCTACCACGTATAGATACCTTCGTCTAGAGCGTCCCTTGCTAAATAACTAAATACAACATGTAAAAAAAAAACCCTGTGGTTCCCGTTAAGTGCGTTATCAGAATCAGTTCAAACGTATAGAAATAACTTTACTGCAGAAAACACGACCATATATTTATTTAAATTTAATATATAAATTAAATTAAATTTTAATAAATATTAATTGCAAATTTTATGTGGGTTTATTATGTGAAATTTAATATTGTTTTCTTTTTAAAGTTTAATTTACATTTGAATATGTTATTTACTACAATTATTGCGCTCGTTGTACATCACTGGCACAAAAAATTTGGTCGGTAGCTCGGTAGCGACAATTACGGAATCTACGAATCCATATTGTTTTACTTAGAGGGTCATTAACCTAATGTAATAGTGTTGGACCTATTACATTCGACTTAGAATCGACAAAAATGAATATAGAAAACAAAAATAGTTGGGTTGTAATTACATATTATGTTTGAGAGATCCTAATGGATGACTGTTTTAACAAAATTTTTTTTTTGCCTTGAATACTATACGAATTTAGTTGGATTCATCTCGTCAATATGTTTTCGCTATCATTACCATTGTTCACGTTTAAAAGTCTTTTTTTATAGGATATGGGTGACAAACGAGCACACAGTCCACCTGGTGGTAAGTGGTTGCTGCGGCCCATAGACATCTACATCTATCCTCTATAACAAATTAAAATGCAGATGCGTTGTCACCCGCGAGAACTAAGATGGAATGCCTCGTTTCCAATAAAAAGAGTCTCCGGTTCTCTACACTCACCATACGAAACACAGCAGCGTTAAGCTGCTATTTATTTTCGGTATTCTATAGATCTCCTCTATACTTGTCCCTTTAACGAGAAGTGGCGGTGTAAGAATATCCACATCGCATATCGTCCGGTGGGTGTCGTAAGAGATGACAGAGGGAAACAAGCCAGAAGATGGACAGCAGCGTCTTCCTAATAACAACTAAAAAATAAAAAACTGTGGTTGCCAACCCGTCTGCCAATCGTAGTAACTATGACAAATATCCCACTTATGAGGCAATCAATGGAGAAGCATATTATGCTCACTTTGATAATCTGTAATGAATGAGTTATAGACCTCCCGAAAAGCTTACACGTGGTAGAGCCACTATATTATGGTTGTAGCACATATGGGTCGGCTCGACCGGGTTAGGATCAGGTTCTCACAGAATACCAGCGTAAAATAGCAGCTTAATGCTGCTGTGTTTCGTATGGTGAGTGTAGAGAACTGGAGACCATTTTTACTGGAAACGAAACCATCCATCTTAGTCCTCAGGGGTGACAACAAATTTGTATTTTGATTCTTAATTGGGCGAAATGTAGATGTTTATGGACTACAGCATCCACTTAACATTAGGTGGACTGTGTGCTCATTTATCACCCGTAAAAAAAATTCGAGCATATACCGCTCTACCTTATGAATGACTTCAAACTTTGTCAACGTAGTGTTATGAAATTAAATATTTAATTTCAAATATGATATGCAATAAATATTCAAATACTTTTTAATGGGAATAATCAACATCTTTAAGTATATTAACGAATTAATCATTAACTTCAATTACATTTTTATAGTAGACTTTCTGAAACTCCTACAGGACATAAGTTGGTGACACTTTTATGTTCTATAAGCCTATGCCTATGTATAAAAATATTTGTCGATACATTGATTCATTGTTATTTTTAGACACATCACTAACAAAAGAGAGGGCGATACGCACGCACGTTTTCACAATTCCATTGAGGCTTTAAAAAGTAAGAAGTCGTTTAGTCTATACTACATTTACAACAAAGTCGAAAATTATCTGTAGATGCACCAAACAAAGCAGAAAGCAATTTAGTTTATACATTTGTGTTCGAAGTTATTTAATTTAAAACTTGAAGACATATCTTTAAGTATGTTAATTGCTTGAAAATGTCTCCAACGTCTGCTACCGCTTTGACACTTCCAAAATTAAGGCGGGAAACACCGAACTCATGCTGTCAATCGGCGGCACGAGGAAGCCATTTATTTTTGTCGAATCAATTAAAATAATTGATTTCACAGATGCATAGTATTTCACGATTCTGGGAATTGGGTACGTTTGTATAGCTTCACTGCTTTAACTTTGGGAAATTAAGCCAATGTCAAAGATTATAATTAACCGACAGTTCTGTTCAAATTACAGTTTTTGGAGTTTAGTCCTGAGGAATCGATTTCCATATATTGCCCGCGGTACACAAATTAGATGGGAGACAAAAAGTGAAGTCTTTTGTTGCCCCTTCGCGCAACACATTCGCGTATCTTTTTTATTAAGGTTTTTGGCTTGGATGCTTGTCCTTTAAGTTATGTCTTCATTTATCTCTGTATCTAGTGATAATAATCCTTTATAGTACCTACACTGCTTCACACTATGTTTATGTGTCACATTGCGTAGTTTTTGGGAGATTTTGCCGGCAACTTGAGCCAGCAGACAGTTGGCGATAGTATCTCAAGGCGCCTAAGCAGACAGACACATCATCATTAGATTCACATCACCATCGCAGCACTTGTTTCACCGTTTCCGCTACTAGTTCTCATGTGCAGACATTTAATACGCAAAACCACGACCACTTTTACATCAAAATCCACTTCGAACCTTTATTTAAACACTCATACTACTCAATTTCACGCATCTTGTACTGAACACGTGTAAAGATGGCGAAAATGTTTGGATTTATTTAATAGTTAAAAGTCATTAGTTAAAAAAATAACTGATTTATTTTTATACAATGATACTCATTGAGTTATATGTACTACGTACGTACATATAACTCAATGATGATACTAAGTTGATATTGTTACATATTATTAATATTATTTACATACTACATATGTAAGTAATGTTAGTTTCAAGGTAGAATGGTTTCTTTTTCTTCAACGCGAACCAATTACATCACCCTATTTGACAAAAATATAATATGTTATCTCGTTAAGAATAAAATAACAAACAACACTAAATTGTAAATAGGTACATAATTAATTCAAAATGGTCGCGCCATTTTGTTAAATTAGCTTTAATTAGATAGGCTAACATGCAAACACTGAATAGAGCAAATTCTTTGTGTACTTGTGAATTAATCAAGTGGTAAAATTTAAAATTTTGTACAACCGACTTCAATATAAATTATTAAGGTTAGCTTAAAAACGATTGGTCAGACCTTGATCAAAATTATATGCGGCCATATGAGAAGCAGCAGCTTTCAAACAAAAAAGAATCACCTAGGCAAAAGTTATGAAGTAACACACATTAAAAAAATACAGTCGTATTGAGTACCTCCTCCTTTTTGAAATCGATTAATATAAAGCAAGCATATCGGCTTGCTCACACTCGGGTTCTGTAAACTCCAGGTTCCTGGGTACTAGGTCCAATGTCCTAGGTACAATAAGTTATTAATTATTTTACGCCCGCATCAGTCTACAAACTAGGTACTGTCTGATGTTTTTAAATACTCGTACTTGTCTCTGAATCATCCCACTGGAATATTACTAGACTATATTCTATAAACGTATAAAAATAATTATTAAGTACGCAAATTGAAACGACCTTCGAATACCTAATGACTAACTGGAAAAAAATGATTAATAAAAATTCAATAACACTAGAAAATACTGCAATAATACATTGGTAATTGATTATTATTCGAGCCCTTAATAGTCGCGTAGTTATGAATGACGTGTGTCACCACACTTGATTGCAATCTGGGCGAATATACACCAGAATTACTTGACCTGCCGTTTGGCATATTAACTATGCAATCTTAGATCATATTATATTAATATCTAGTTTAATGAGAACCCTCAGTGTATAGTAAAGAATAGAAAAATATAGTTCCGAAGGAAGTGGATGCCTTTAGTTGTGTATTTCATATTATTTTGACCCGGTTCCTTACTGACGTGCCATCGAAAAGCGGATCTTCTTCTAGTGGCCGGAAGACCAAAATGCTGCCGTCCGTCGTGATATACGTTTTGATATCAGATCGAAGGTCAACAATGTTTGGTCACGTTTTATGCATATTGGTACGATGTTGGAATGAGCAAGGAAGGGCCGTCCATTGAGTAACTATGGGTTTGCTAATTAATATGCCTCGGGTTGGGCCCTGTTGGGAAATGTTACTGCTACGTTGAATACGTTAGGGCTTACGCATTGCAATGCACGGGACTTTTTGAATAAACCTAATGTCATACAGGGACGGTAAGTTATGTATACACTAGGTATATTTTAAACAAAATAAATGTTTAAAAACGCATATTGCAATATTATGGAGCCCTGGTAGCTCAGATGGTTAGCGCTCGCTGTAAATTTCACAAGTACGGGCCAATTGTGAAATTTTTAATGAAATTGTTTGTTGTTGATGTTTTTACCACGTGCTCGGCGGTGAAGGAAAACATCATGAGCAAACCTGCATGTCCGAGAAATAAGAAAAAAAATATTTTGAAGACATGTGAAGTTCGCCAACACGCATTGGGGCAGCGCGGCGGACTCTTCCTTGCCCTAAAACCCTCTCAGAAATGAGAGGAGGCTTTTGTGAAGCTGTGGGACGTATATAGGCTGTAAACTGTAGTTTGGAGTAATTCCTTGTTCTGAAAGTAACTTATTCTGATTTGTAACAAAGGATTCATTTACAACAAAGTTACTTGCACAATATACACGTGTTCCATGGCGTCAACCCCATGTTTCGAAAATTTTAACGTATACATATGAATGATCATTTGCAGTGTCATTTTTTTAAATCCGCTATTAATGTAGATTAATTTTAACTAAAGCTACGTCTATTTACCGGGTAGTGGCGGTGTAAGAATGTCCACTATTCTATATAACCCCGTGGGTGTCGGAAGAGGCGACAGAGGGAAACTGAGGCAGGAGATGGGCAGCAGCATCTTTCTGATAACAGCAAAAACTACAATAAAAAAACAGCCATTACAAGCTCGCTTGGCAAGCGTGGCAACTATGGCAAATAACCCTTATGAGGCATTCTATGGGGATGGTAACGTTAACGGTACGTCTATTGCTATATGATGTGTTCATTAGTTTATTTCTAACTTTTCAGTACAATTTTATTTCGTTTATCTATCTTCCCGAGAAATATTTAAAATGTTCATAAAAATGTGCCATAAAAATATTTCTGTTTAAACGGTTTTGTGTAATGATTCATTTAAGATTAACCTTGACGATGTTCTTGAAAATTTTACCATAAACCAAAAATAGTCCCAAGAAGCACTTTATTAATGTACACCTTACAACTTGCACTTTTTAAATGTACACTACGTGGTAGAGACATGCTGTAGCTATATTAATATTATAGTTGTAGCAAGAATGGGTCGGCTCGACCGGGGAGGGATCACTCTCTCACAGAATACCAGCGTAAAATAGCAGCTTAATGCTGCACAGCATGGTATCATCGTATGGTGAGTGTAGAGAACCGGAGACCTATTTTACTGGAAAAGAGGTATTCTATCTCAGTCCTCACGGCTGACAACGCATCTGCATTTTAATTCGCAAACAAAGATAGATGTAGATGTCTATGGGCCACAGCAACTACTTACCATCAGGTGGACCGTGTGCTCGTTTGTCTCCCTTATAGAATAAAAAAAAAACAACTACAACTGGGCTATGCTACGCTGCTAAATTTAAAATTACTTTAACTTTATGTTAATGCATTACATTTTAATTTTAACGTATCGTTTAGTGGTACTTACAATAACGTGAACTTTGTTGGTAATTTTTTTTTCATACCTGTAACCAAAACAATATAAAATATTAGAAAAGCAATATTATAGGCTAATAAAATAATAAAAGTAACCGTATATTACCTGTATTGCATAGAGTAGTGTATTTGTGTTTGTATCATATTTTATTATCTGTTAATTTCTTCGGCAATTTTGAGTTTCATGTTGAAATGTTTCAATTAATACATGTAAAGTATAATTCTGTTATTAACTGCAAATGTTTACTAATAATGTTTTGTATGTGGTTAGTTGGTAAGCGTAAATAAATAAAGAAATGACCTAATATAAAATTATTTTCTTTATAGAGATTTGTCATCATCATCATTAAAATCATAGGTCATATAGGTCAAGGAATGCCACAGAACATGGTCCTGAGTCACTTCCCATCGATTAATTTTATATAAATTATCAGTTTTTAATAGATTGCTGGTAGAACTTCTACATGGAAATAATTACTAGTAAGTAAATAATAAAAAATACAGATGAAGCATTAACATTATCAAGCTATTAGAAAAAAACCTATTATGTACTCATTGTGTGGTGGTATTACTTTGCAAGTGTGTTGTCATCTGAGCGTTTGCGGTTTGTATTATTAATGTTATTTATTTTTCATTATGCAACACAAATGTAAACAAGTGATTGTCATTTCATACATATCTAAATATGAATGGGAGTGAGTGATTCATTATTATTGCTACTGGCTTATAATTATGTAAATTGTAAATATTATACATATTATTATAATTAAAATTGTAATTATGTAAATTCTTTTACCGTGTAGTGTCAATGTAAAAATATCTTCTAGCCCATATCGTCCCGTGGGTGTCGTAAGAGGCGAGAGAGGGAAAGAAAATCATCGAGTTAATAGCGATATAAATAAAAATCTACGGTCGCCAATCCGCTTGCCTAGTGTGGCAACTATGGCAAATATATGAGGCAATCTAAGAGACTTATGTTTTCAGCAGTGGACTAGGCTGTAATGGATGGATGTATAGAAGATAATCTACCAGGAGCACATGACCCACTGAGAGGTGAAATTTTCAAATCAACAGTAACATTACAACTATGGCAAATATGGGGGATATTAGGGGGGATACTATGAGGCAATCTATGGGGAAGGCCTGTGTTCGGCAGTGGACTGTAATAGGTTGTAATGGTAACGGTAACGGGATGTTACATTCTTTAAAAGAAATTGTGTAAGCATATGTTTAAATTACTCATATGTAAAATTTCACTCCTGTCCCCCAGAAGAAGACTACTGTCTACTGACTTTCACTTTTTTTATAGGATACCGGAATTTTATTTTCTATATTACAACTACATACACATACTATTTCATTCCTCCTATTGTTAAATAGGCTGCATCTTAAATGTTTCATTCCGATGCGTATATCATGCATGTTAACTAAAATTAAGTACGTAAACATTATCAATGGTAGTACAGCGAAAGTTCTTAGACTGTTATAATAAAAAAAAAGCTTAGAAATCATGGATTTAACCTGGGAGTCATTTATGAAATCAAAAGTTTGTTTGTTAATTTTCTTTATAAATTGCTTCCTATAAAGCAAAAACATATTATACCTAAATAATTTAATTAAAATTCTAAGACGATTATAATGCTTTGATCTGGAACCGTGTCCATAGATAAATAAATATGACCGTGTCAGACTGTCAGATTAATAATCAAACACGCACTTTCTAATCTATGACGTTTTTGGCGCGAAGATTAATTAGGCATAAATGGCGCGTAATTCGGTAAAACGCATGGGGCAAACATTGACGCAACTTCCAAACGTTTGCTCTTCGCACAGCGCGAACCCTTGTTTGATGTATTGCATTGTTTACGAAATTAAGCACCGGTGAAAGTTGGTCCGATTCTATTTAGCACAAAGCACTTTCAATAACATAAGTAGAATGGATGGAGCCATGTTTTTGACACAAAAAATCGCATTCGGAAGTTTGCGACTCGAATATCAAAGCGTCATTCAATTTAAAATCTATACATCTATACATATAAATAAAATTGAAGTGTCTGTTTGTAATGTTAAAATAACAGCTTTTTACTAAATGCATGTGAATGTATATACAGTACTTATAACAAAACCACAATTTTTAAAATTTTTATCTGTCTGTCTGTTGGTCTGTCTGTTTGTTCCGGCTAATCTCCGAAACGGCTGGACCGATTTCGACTGGAATTTCACTGGCAGATAGCTAATGTTCTAAGGAGTGACTTAGGCTACTTACAATTAAGAAAAAGTATTAGAGTTCTGAGCAATATAATTAAAACCCTAAATTACACGCGGGCGAAGTCGCGAGGAACAGCTAGTTAAATATTATGATGTACCCCTACTCCTAACATCACGATACCAGGATCTAGTGTAGTGATGTTGGGAGTAGTGGAGCTGAGATTAGTGGGGACGGGGATAGTGCCTGCGATTGAGGGAGGGTGGGAGGTGCTCTTCAAACTAGGAAAGACACGTTATTTTATTTCATTACGATATAAGCAAATTTTAACAACTTTAACCAATTTTAAAATGTTTGTGTGTCTGTGTGTCTGTCTGTCCGGCCTAATCTTCGAAATGGCTGTGCTGATTGTGATGAAACTTTACAAAGGGATAGAGAGTAGAAAGCAATTGCAGGAGGGATGTAGGCCATATTTTATCGGAAAAACTTTAATATGTTAAAAATAATGACAAATTTATTTATATAACATAATAATATAGGTACAATATTAAAGACTATAATAAAAAAACACTACTAACTTAACTATCATACAGTCCTACTCCCCCCGATATCGTGCCAAGAACGCTGGCTGCGTTTCCCCGCTGAATGGCTATACTTAGCCTTTGAGCGAGAAAAGAACCAGCCCTCTTATTACCAGCAGCAACGACCAGCCGCGAATGGAGTTCCTTTAGGAACCTCACCGCACGTGGACCCCACAATTTATTAAAAATACCTTTCGATTTTCTGAAATCTAAATAATGCTACATTAATATATCCTATCCAGACGGAGCCGGGGCGGATCGCTAGTGTAAAATAAACACATCATGTCATGTGTAGAGACATGATGTAAGGGACGGTCTAATGTTGCGTACATTGTGTTTCTGTGTAAACAAACAAGTTTTGCAACTAACACTTACGCATAGGCTGGAATATTTCTTAAGCATATATTGAACGCTGTCGTAACAGATAATTTATAAAATTTATAATGCAGATATTATGCATAAAGATAGCGACAATCTCCACAAAGTATTTTTATGCTTAAATTTAATAGTTTAGAGAATGAAAGAAAGAAAATGCATTTATTTGTCAGAAGTGTACCTACACATATTAAAATTGGGTAAAAACAAAAATAACAGAGAATTAACTTTTAAAACAGTAATAAAACGAGTTGAATGTAAATTCAAGAAAAACAACTTCCTTCTGCGTGAATCCCATATCTCTGGTGCCCTTTGAACTACAGGACCCAAATTCAAACTCGACCGAGCTACTACCTCAAGGTATCCACATACCAAATTTAAAGTCAATCGGTCCAGTGGAACGGAAGTTATCGTGTCGGCATACAGACTAACAGACTGCCAGCTAAAACCATTAACTTCCTTTCAATGCTACGCAGAAGGAAGTTTACAAGATATTAACTTATCTGAGTAAAAATAAATAAAATGAAAAATATAAAACAATAATAGCAAATCAACAAGGTTAACTTACTGATTTCTTATATTTACGCGAATACTACACATTGAATAAAACTATATTTATGGATTTTATCGCGTTTAATTTACTTATTTTAATTCCCGATGTTTCAAGCACTTTACAGCACCCATGGTCACGGGCGGGACTGAGGTGTCTGACGTCCCGATGTCATAGTTAGCCCGGCTACCTTCAGTTTTTGAATATTAATTTTTGGTCCTATCTACACAGAATAAGCTTACTGTATCTTGAAGTCTTGCAGTGGTGTGCTTCGGTTTAGATTTAATTTTGTTAATTATAGGATCCCAAGCAGATGGTAGCATCCATCCATCTTCTCTATTGAAATTAGGATGTTTTTTAATTTCAATAGTCTCGCGTTTAGTGGGCGGCTTGGATACCGCAATTTTTTTTAGTTATTATATTGGTTGTTATGAGAAAAATGCTGCTGCACATCTTTAGGTTAAGTTTGCTCCTGTCGTTTTACCACAATCACGGGACGATATAGGGCAGTGGATATTCTTACACCGCCACGGTTAACGTAGTAATCAATGAAAGATTTTTTCTGAAGATCATCTCTCTTCTTTCCTTATTTAATTCTTTAAAGCATTGTTAATAAGGACAGCCGTAAACTATTCTAGAACAAAGTCCGAAGTAACACAATATATCCCGCCAGCCACGAATAAATCCTGAACAGTGAACAAACATATTGTATTTCGTTATAAATCAAATGGATTTACGACTCCCAACTAGCATGTGTACTGTACCTAATGTAACAGTGTTAAACGTGGCGTATATTGCATCTCTATAACAGTACAGGCCTTCGTCTAGCAAGGATTTTTTTCAAAGATAAAAAAAAATTAGAAACTTTACGTGTATATATAACGTATAATATAGCGTATAACTATGCTATATAACTATATTACGATTGAAGAACGAATGGGTCGCCTCGACCGGGGGAGGACCACGCTCTCACAGAATACTAGCGTAACATAGCAGCTTAATGCTGCTATGTTTCGTATGGTGAGTGTAGAGAACCGGAGATCCTTTATATTGGAACCGGGACATTTCTTCCTAGTCCTCAGGGGTGACACCTGCATTTTGATTCTTAATCGAGGATAGATGTAGATATCTATGGTATATGCCACATCATTCACTTACCATCAGGTGGAC